CTGCTCCCAGATTCTCCCTTGGGTTCTTACTGCTCATGTATCAGCTGCTTTCTGGAAAGGCATGTCACATTTCCTTTGATGTACTGCTGTTTCCAGATTCTAAATTTCTGGTGGCCCGTTTCTGAATCCTTAGGTGCTTGCTGTATATGGGATATAGCAGGCACTGATAAACATCTGCCAAAGGAATCCCAAGTACTGCATCTGTGTTGTGTGACTGTGTACGTGTATACCTTAGACCAAGACGTGTGTTTCAGCACAGAAAGATGTTAGATGCCTCAGCTCAGTCTTTATTCCAGAACCAACTGTGTCGTTTTGCAGGGCTCTGTGATGGAAGCCCTGCTCCTCACATGAACCTCCCTTCCCTTCAGGGCCCAAAGACTGGCAGTGGCAGATGCTCAGAACCACCTCCCCCCTGGCCATACACACATCAGCCAGCAAAGGGCTTGACCGCAGAAGTGTTGGCAAACCATAGTTACTTATGAAAAACTTTACTCATAATATTAATTCCTGAACCTAGGATTTGGTGGTGATATTTATAGTGGGGTTTGCAAGATGCTGTATGTTGATAAAATCAGCTCTACTTTTAAAACTTAAGAACAAAAACAAAGAAAAAAGTCTCTTCAAAATGAACTATTATTAAATGTAGACACACTTGTTTCTAGTCCCTGTTCTGTGTTTCTACTTGTATTTTTAAGTATAGTAATGCTGTACAAATACATTGTTCTTTAAAAGCTTAAAATCTTACAGGTTAAACTTAAGACCCCCTGACTTTCCTATCTATGCCCTATAGCTTTTAAACTTTTTGGAGCAGAGCTCAAAAAAATGAGATTGAATATTAACATTCAGTACTCATCCATTAAATGTCTATCTGTATTGCATGTTCTATCTTGTGCTGGGGACATAGTAGTAAGCAATATATTTAAAGGACATCTGCCTTCCTTCATAAAGCAATCAAAGTAATTCCAACTAGTAGCAACTCCTATAAGGAGCATCATAGCAGGATTAGTGACCTTTCTGAGAAAGTGCAGAAACCTTCATCATGGGGACTCAGCATGCACAGATTGAGATCTGAACAGGGCACTCTCTGGCATTGTTTGTGCAAGGGTCCTGAGGCAGAAGCTATATGACCAGTGTGTTTTAAGTGCAGTAACTCGTGATGAGGTAGAAAGACAGGCGGGAGCCAGATTTTAGAGGCTTGGAGGCTATTGGCTAGCTTTTGCAAGTTCGTCTAACTGCAAAAATGTTTTATAAGATGAGATTGTTAGGAAACATTATTGTTCTGGGCATTCCTAGTAGATAACTCTGGTTTGAAGACCATAGAGCCAGAGACACCTTCTCTCCACCTTATCCCCCCTCACAGAGAGCTGCCTATGTCTTTCATTGCTGCAACCCATTGGCTTTCACTTCCACTTTGTAGGTGCCACAGCTTTGAATCTATTTCTTTGTAGCAACCCTGAAATCAAGGATATATGCAGGCCTTTTCCTCCTCCTTGAGCATTTTGTTGTCTTTGAAGAAGTGCTTGCCACAGCCTGTGTGGGAGGACAAACTGCAATGTCAGTAATTGTCAGCATGGTGTCATTGACTACATCTCTGGGATCAGCAGTCCTTCCCCTGGGAGGAGCTCAGCATTCCCTGTAGGCTTTCCAGCAAGTCACCTGTCTGCTCTAGAGTTGTAGTATCAGTTCTTACTTTACCTTGCTGGAGACAGTGTTTCTTGTTCACTGCTGTACAAGCTAGATTAGCTGGCTGGAGAGCTCCAGTGATTCTCCTGTCTGTTTCTTCTGGTAAGGGCATACTAGACTTACAGATGGGTGTGTGCCACCGTATTTGGCTTTTACTTGGGCTCTGGGGATCCGAATTCAGGTTGTCAGGCATACACAGGAAGCACTTTATCCACTGAACCATATCCCAGGATCTTATTTTGTTGTTTAATGAGATTATTCTTTTGTTTGTTTGAGAACTCAGTCTTACTAAGGTCAAACTGGCCTTGAACTCACAGAGATCAACTTGCCTCTGCCAAGTACTGAGATTAAAGGTTTGCAACCATGATTGTTAACATTTAAATTTTTTAAAAATTATTTTATGTGTATGAGTGTTTTACTTGCATATATGTAAGTGTACCCATATATGAAATACCTGGGTATACCATGAGAAGGAGTCAGTTTCTATGGAACTGGAGTTAAGGACCATTGTTAGTTGCCACGTGAGTGGTGGGAACTAAACCTGGGTCCTCTGTAAGAGAAACCAGTGAGCTTATCCATTGAGCAATCTCTCTAGAGGGTTTTGGATTCCCCTAGAACTGGAGTTAAGGACAGTTCATAACCACCATGTGGGTGCTGGGAATTGAACCTGGGTCCTCTGCAAGAGCAGTCAGTGCTCTTAACAGCTGAGCCATCTCTCCAGCCCCTCAGGATTGTTCTTAATAGATGCAGTGGTAGTACAGTAAAGACATTGTTTTTCTTTGACTTGATTTTTCACTTGATTATATCACGTGGAAATAATTCCAAGGCAAAGATACAGTTATAACTTCAATATAATGAATGAAAAATACATAAGAGCACTTGCTACTCTTGCAGAGGACCCAGGTTCAGTCCCCAGCACCCACATGGCAGCTTACAACTGTTTGTAACTCCACTTCCAGGGGTATCCAAACCCTCTTCTGGCCTCCATGGGCACCAGGCACACACATGGCATACATACATGTATGTAAACAGACATTCATACACATAAAATAAAAATAAATAAATCTTAAGAAATTAAAATACTCAGATTATGAAAAACATTTTTGTTGTGAAAATTCAAAGGGATAGAAAAAGGCATAGTTCTTCACCCCTCTTTTTGTTTTTCAGGCTACCACTATTAGTATTTTTCTGTATATACTCGTAAGTATATAATATGTTCTTACAGCATCCTGTAATTCTGTAACGTAGAGTTCATGTACTATGTGGGGTTTTGAATATTTTTTCTCCTCCTACCTGCTCAGATGCCTTGTTCTGTTTAATGAATTCATAATATTCTGTTGTGTGGATATGCTATAATTTATTTAAACATTTACTATTGATAGACTTCTTTCATCTTTTCTGTTCGAAAATCCCTAACCCTTTATCACTCTTGTTAAGTCCCTCTTGATTTGTTATTAACTTGAATTATTTAATATGATAAACATTTGTACAGTGACTCCTCATTCTGGCATTGGACAGGGCACATTAGGCCATGTGCACTGAGTTATTACTCTCAAACAGAAAGACTTGTGCATAAAGAACTTTGAACAGGACATGTTCTAGAGGAGATATGCAAATAGCATGTATGCAGTATCATTAAATCAACCTAGGGAAGGTGAAGGAGAAATTGGAATAGGACTTTGAAGGATGAATGAGGACTGGCAAGATGATTCATCAGGTAAAGGCACATGCTGCTAAGCCTGAAGGCCTGAGTTCAATCCCTAGCCCTCACCTGTGGGAGGAAGAGAACCAGCACCTGCAAATTATCCTCTAACCTTCACACATGCATGTATACACACACACACACACACACACACACACACACACATGCATGCACACACACGTACACATATATATCCCTGATAGGTTATCCAATCCCAAATCATCAGCCTGAAACACATGTCCATATGAGCACCACTAAATGGACTCAGAAGGGTGTGTGTGTGTGTGTGTGTGTGTGTGTGTGTGTGTGTGTGTGTGTGTAATGATAATGAAAGAAGAAGTCACAAAATTGAGAGGGAGTTGGGGGAGGGAGAAGTAGAAATGATATAAATTTAGTATTCATGAAATTCTCAAAATGAAAAAAAATTATAAAAATTATTTGGAATTCTCTATATTTTATAGTGAAATGCTTCTAATAAATGTTTTTTAACCCTATAAAACAAAAAAGAATAAATAAACAAAATTTTTAAGGTACTGGAGAGATGGTTCAGTATTTAAGAGCACTGACTCATCTTGCAGAGGTTTGAGTCCCAGCACCCACATGGCAACTGACAACTGTAACTCCAACTCCAGGTGATCTGATGCTCTCTTCTGACCTCCAAGGGCACTGTACAACACGGATGCACTTGGACACATGCAAGCAACACACTCATACATATAAAATAACCATTGTGGAAGAGGGGGCAGAAAGATGTAAGAGCCAGGGCTGGTTCATGAACACAGGGAAGCAGAGGCTTCCAGGCCATTGGAAGCTTGCACATGTAAACTTGTGACAGTGGTGGCATCAAGCACAGGCCCATGTCAACTCAATTAAACAAGGGCCCAAAGGGGAGGAGAAAAATAGGTGGCAGGCTGGCACTAGACTGAGAACTATTGGAGACTGATTGCTGCTGGTGAGGGAGAATATGACTTACATACAATCACTAGATGGGCTGACTAGATTCCAGTGGATGAATTTACACTGAAGGACATTTGGGTACAAATGCCTGAAAGAATAGGACTTAACATGTATGGCAGAATACATGAGGTCTGGTGGGGATGGAACATGAGTGGGGAAGGGGGTACAAATTTGATTAAGAACTATTGTATGAAATTACAAAAGCTCAATAAAAATATAAAAAAATAAATAAAAATTCTAAAAAATTTAAAGCTTGTAACTACTGCTTTAACTTTTAAAAAAAAAAAAAAAGGATGAATGAGATTTCCTAGAGGGCAAGGAAGAAACAGTCATTCTTTTGGGAGGAGTAGTAAGAACAGAGCAGGTCAGAGGGGTTAGAGGAAAAGCAATAAGCTACAAAGAATGGCCAGCAGCCTGATGTGGTCAGAGCACATGTTGTGTGGAGTGTTGGAGTTATTTGCATAGCAGTTGGCCATAGGATGCGCTTACAAGTGAATGGAAGGACCTGGGTGCTCTGCCCAGCTGGATGCCAGACCAGCTCTCTTTCCTGCAGGGTCCACATGTGGCCAGCAGCACAGGGAGCTCTCTTTTGAATTGGTTTGATTTTTCAAAGTTTTGTCTATCACATTCTTAACCACCTCATGTCTTCTTTTCACAGAGTTTAGTCATATCAAGAAATAGTGCAGAATTCAGCCATGGCCCCAAGGAAGAGAAGTGGACGGGGGATTTCATTTATCTTTTGCTGTTTCCGAAACAACGACCACCCAGAAATCACATATCGGCTTCGAAATGATAGCAACTTTGCCCTCCAGACCATGGAGCCAGCGTTGCCCATGCCACCTGTGGAGGAGCTGGATGTCATGTTCAGTGAACTTGTGGTGAGTCCCAGATTTCTATGCTGGCCTTGTTGAATAAGGGAGTCGGGGAGGAGAGACTGTGGGTGGGTTGGTTTGGTTTGCCATCATCTACCCTCTATGTTTGCACCCTCACTGTCCTCACTAAGCTATGGGGAAGGGGAAGTTGAAGAGGGTACCATGACAGCTACATCCAAGAGTTTCATTGGTGTTTGAAGTAGTTAGAAAGATTTCAGCCTTCAAGTTTTCAAATAGTGGTAGTGGTGTATCCTGAATTGATCTTTCTAATTCATCCTCATCCTCCCTGGTCTCTACTTAGATGCATAAGTAGCTCCTTCATCTACTGCACACCTTCTGGCACTCCCCAGTGCTCCCCCATACCCACTCCCAATGTATAGTATTAATGTTATTTTGAAAACTAGTCCTGTTTCCCAGCTTGTCTTTGATCCTTTCATGGAAGACATTATTACTTAAGTGTAGTATCATTATTTAGACTAATGATAGGATTGGAATAATAGCTGTTGTGGGAAGCTTTTTATAGATGCTATCACAGTTTAGAGCCCACTGTCCTCAAATGAGATGATTTATCCAGTGTGAACCTGTTCATCAAGAAATGCAAGTGGACTCTTTAACTTTACTTCAGAGGACAGTACGGAGTAGTTCAAAGGGAACTTGATTATTTAGCAAGACCTCGCTTCAATTTACTGCTCTGACTTTGTCTATATAAATATGAAAGGTTATTTTTCTGAGTCCATTTTCTGAAAACTGTAGGAAAAAAATGCCTCCTCCCAGGTTTGATGTAATGTTTAAATAAGAATGAGTGACAGTGGGAGGGGCCCAGTGCCAGGCTCTTAAAGGTGTTCAGTAAATTTACTACATCCTCCCTTTATTTCAGTTGACCATCTGTAATGGAGTTTGTTCTGCTTAGACTGTTTAGAATATTTGGCAGGTGTAGAGAGTGCTGTGTTTTGTTTGATTCTTAGGGTAGAAAGTAGGTTGTGCCACTGCTTGCCAGGGGTAATCTTGGGACTGACAGTATCTTTCTAGCTTTTACAAATGAAAATTCAGCTAAAAACAGAAAGATGAGCCTGCATGAGAGAACCTGAAGCTAAGGCTTGTGTTCTGTCTCCTGAGGGGAGAAAGGGCCTATTTTTGACCATAATTGATTGAGAGTAAATTGAGGTAACTTGTGATTACATGTTTATGCTTCATGATATTGAATACTTTACTTCCTCTTCCTTCTCTACTCCATGAATTTTATTTTAGGTATTAACTAGGAAACCAACTGTGATGGTAATGCCCACACTTGGGAAATGGAAGTGTGAGGACCAGGAACTCAAGGTCATCTTCTGCTCCATAGTGAGTTCAAGGCCAACCTAGGCTATAAGAGATCCTTTCTCAATACATACACACACATAGAGTGAGAGAGCAGGAGGGAGGGAGGGAGGGAGGGAGGGAAGGAGAGAGAGAGAGAGAGAGAGAGAGAGAGAGAGAGAGAGAACACAAACTAGGGCTAGGGATAGAGGTTAACTGATAGAGTGCTTGCCTACCATGTAGGAAGCCCTAGTATACTATTTTTCTCATTGCTGTGACTAAAAACCTGACAAGTGGAAACTTAAGGGAGAGTTTATTTTGGCTCAAAGTTTAAGAAAGGATACGCATCCATCATGACATGGAAGACATGACAGCAGGCCTGTGACCAGATAGTAAGTCGTATGTGTCCACAGTCAGGAAGCAAAGAAAGACGAATGCTTTCTCCTTTCTGTCAGTCCAGGATTCCAGCCCATGGTATAATGCTACCTACATTCAAGGTTTGTCTTCCTTGCTCAGTTAAGTCTTGCTGGAAACACCCAGACACATGTATCTATAGTGTTGTGAATCTTAATTGAGTTGACAGTGACGATTACTCATCACACCTGGGTTCAGTGCCCAGTACTACATCAACTGGGAATGGTAACACCCACCTGTAATGCCACAACTCAGGAGGTGGAGGCAGGATCAGAAGTTCAAGGTCATCCTGGGCTACATAGCAAGTTTGAGATCAGTTTGGTACACAGGAAACCCTGTCTCAAACAAAACAAAACACACACAGAAAAAGAAAGAACTGCCTTCATAGATGTGATGGTTTCAGATTCTGATAGTAGCTGAGAGGATCAGTCATAAAGAAGTTACCTCACCAAGGGTGCAAGCACAAAGCACCTCTGCACGACTGTGTACGTGTATATGTGTGTGCCCACAGAATAGGTGATGACGAATGTAGTCAGGGAAGACTTCTGGGAGGAAATGAGCTTTCAGGGGAATTGAAGACCAGGAGGAAAGGCAGTAGGTTGTCTTAATGGCCTGTCCAGCTTCTGCTATGGCAGTAAAACATCAGTGGCTCCCACAACAAAGCCTCATCTTGTGTTAGTGCCCAAAGTCAATCATGGGTCTGCTGTGGTCTGTTACTTGCCACCTTCTGTCTCAGATGAAAAAGCAGCCATTTCTAAGCTTTGGCTAGTAACATGTCACTTGTGTCTGCATTTCATTGCCAGTGCAAATCACATGGCCACACTTAAGATCATAGGGTAAGGAGGTGCCATTAGTCTGTAAGGGTTGGCACCACGTGACCAAGACTGAGGTCACTGAGGAAGGTGAAGGACATGTAGTCCGTTTCCAGAGCAGAGCCATGAATCATTTGCCATAGTGGCCATGAATAGTGTATTCATGGGCTTGGTTTCATTTTCTACTGGGAGTGCCTTATAACCAAAAGTCCACCTAAGGAGGTCTTCACTGATAACTGAGGACTTGTGGATAGTTCATCCAGGGTAGGCTAGTACCCTCTACACATCTTGCATTTACAATTCTTTAGGAATATTTGGTCAACCTCCTGAAATGAGACCTAAGCAGCAGCTGGTGGTGGCAGTTTCATGTACATCTTGAAGACACCTCTCTGCTCTGCATTCAGAGGGAGAAAATTCCACTCTCTGCCTTACTGATGTCTCTATTCTGTGTGCAAAAATTGCCTACAGCTGTTAGTTGTTAAAAAATCAATGCCAAACCAGAACTCTAAGCCAAAACCATTGGAAAACAAATTAGCTTGAGGTTTGCATCTGTCCTGGTGAGTGAGGATGGATTTTTGTCTACCTCTGACTTTAGGGACTTAGACCACAAATCCTTCTAGTTGCCAGGAGGGAGGCCTGAGGCAACAGAGGTGGGCTCAGAGTCACTGGAAGCTTCTGCTCTGGGTTTTCCAGACCTGTTGCAAAAGCAACTCTGCTTGTAGCCTAGTACTGGAGAGGGAGTGGTGACAGAGGGACCTGGGCTCCTCAGTCAGCAAGTCAGCCATCAGCTCTGTCTAAGAAAATTTTTTTCAAGACAGGTTCTGTTTGGATTTGAGCTTGTTTTCTTGACTATAAAATGGGGATCATACCATTTCAGTGATAGAGCTGATATGAATGTTAAATAAGATAACTTTTTTGAAAAAGGTTGTTACCTGACTGGACCTGATATTGCAGGCCTGAATTCTCAGCTTCTTGGAAGTTGAAGCAGGAGGATCCTAAATTCAAAGCCAGCTTGGGAAAACTAGTAAGACCCTATCTCAAAAATTAAAAGTAAATTAAATTGAATTGGTGTGCTGTATGTAGTCCAGTGGTACAGATCACCTAGCATGAGGGACTAGGTTCAGTCACCAGTACCTAAATACACTGATTAATGAATTAGGAGCTGGCACGTAGGCTATGCATTGTTCTCCACATCCACTTGTAGCAGAAGGGGTGGGAGACAATTCGGGTCTTTTCTAGGGTCGAAACTCTCAGTAAATATCCAGGTTTTTTCTTTACTTTGAAGCTAATCTGTTTGCTATATGGCTCCTGCATGGCTGGCCCTTTTACCTCTGTATTTGTTTTAAAGGGTCTGGTCGGAGTCAGTTATTGCCAGCTGCTTTCTCTGTCTTACCCTGTCTGAAAACTGATACCAAATGGCTTTCCTTAGAATTGCTTGTTTTATCCTTATTCTCCTATCAATGAAGCAAACCTGGATAGAAGGCCTGGCACAGGAATCTTTAAAGAAGCAGCTGTTGAGGTGGGCCATGTTCTCTAGCAGGCTCCCTGCCATAGGCAGGGCAACCAGAGTCATCTCTAGACATAATGGTTTCTGGAGGTCCTTGTCCCACATGCTCTATCCCACTGACCCGCTGGGAATTAAACCTAGGGCCTTATACATGCTAAACAAATGTGCTACCACTGAACTAATCCCCAGTCCACCTGCCCATCTTTTAAACTGATTTTTAAAATGTATATATATATATATATTGTCTTTTTGAGACAGGGTCTCCTTCTAGTCCCCACTGACTGACCTGAACTCACTGTGTAGACCAGGCTGGCCTTGAACTCACAAAGACCTGCCTGCCTCTGCCTCCCAAGTGCTGGGATTAAAAGCATGTACCACCACGCCTGGCTAATATTTTATTATTTTTTATTTTATATGTATGAGTGTATTGCCAGCATGTATGTAAATGCACCCCGTGTCATGCAGTGCCTGTGGAGGTCAGAAGAAGGTGTCAAATTCCCTAGAACTGGAGTTATGGATGGTTGTTAGTTGCCATGTGGATGCTTGGAATTGAACCAGGGTCCTCTGCAAGAGCAGCCAGTGCTCTTAACTGTTGAACCATCTCTCTAGCCCTTAAATTGCTTTTTAAAGGCATTATTCACCGTACCATATTTACCTATTCATCTATTTAGAATATACAATTCAGTGGCTACCAGTGTATTCATAGAACTGTATAACTATCATCAAAGTCAATTTTAAGTATTTTTATCACCCTGAAAAAGAGTCATTATAGCCACTGGCCATCACCCCTGTTCATGTGAGCTCCACCATCCCTTGACAGCCACTGATTTGCTTTATGCCTCTGAGAAATTGTTAATTTTGGACAGTTAGGACAAATGGGATCACAGTCTGTGGGGCTTTATGACTGGCATCTTTTGTATAACATTGTTTTCAAAGTTCAGTCATTGTAATATGAAACAGTTCTTCATTTCTGATTA